AAATGTGCTCCTCACCCTTGTGTAGACCCTTGTCTGCACTAGGTCTGACATGGAAAGGGATCATCTCTCTCGAGTGATTCAGGGCAGGCAGAAAAGCGCACCAGAGTTTCACAGGGGCTTGGAGGCTGGCCTGGAGTGTTTCTGGAGCCATGGGGTTAAGAGCGTGATGGGACAGAGGTGCAAGAGGAGTGTTGGGCACAGCAGGCGAGGATGTGGCTCAGGAACAAGCCGAGCTAGAAAAAACTGAGACATGAGTGGCTCAGCACTACAGCTAGCAGGAGAAAAGGTCCTTCAACGACCTCGAGATTACAAATGTTTTCCTTTCAGATTTTCCTCCGAGCAGCTGACCTGCTCAGGGAAGTTTTCACACCTCTGCAAGCGACAGCAACACCTCTTCAGCTGGCACCATTGGCTAAGAGGCAAAGTGTTTCTTTGGAAACTGGGGGGAGACCCGAACAGAAAGGCTGCATCATGCACGCTGGCAAGACAGGGAGAGGATCTGGGGTGTTACTCTTGACTTATTTGTTTCCCCCCATTTTGCATTTCCTTTGCAGAACCTACCAAGCAAACATGCTTTGGGAACGAGTAGTTTACTAGTTCCTCATTAAAAGTACCTTTAATGCAGACAGACGGATGCAAAGCAGCCTGAGAAGACAGCGTGGAGGAGGCCTGGACCTTGCAAAACCCATTAACTGGCCACATGGATGGGTCAATAGAGCAGGAATAACTACAGTGCTGAACGGAGGGATCAACCTTTTAGGGTAAAGCACACTAAACTTCAGATTCGTGATTTTTGCATGCCTGGTATATGTTATTTCAAGAATAAAGACAAGTGACATAGAGTCTATCTGGGATGCAGATAACTTGAAATTAAAACACACAGCATCTGTCTGAAGGGATTCATTCAGGAGCTACAGAAGGTCACCAAAGCAGAAAAGAACAGGAAACGAGAAGATTCACATTTTGTTTACAACACCCATGTCTGAGAACATCGAATATTTATAAATAACTCTTCTTTTTCTCCTGCGCCGCACAGCTTCTCTGTAAGAAGTACTGTAAACAGGTCTCTAAAGGAGTCACAAAGGCAAAAAGGGCATCTTGCTTTCATCATGTTCAAATGACATTTCTCTCTACCGCCTCTTGAAAATAACCATCAAAACAATTTTTCAACTGAAAAGTGGGGGTTTCCATTTTAGATGATTTTCTGTAAGAAGGCTCTGCTTTATGAAGGAAGTTTAGATTTATTTATTTATTTATTTTGATCAAGCGGAGTAAACCACTGAGAGCATCTGCCCTGGTTTGGTGCAGGAGGGACCTCCCACCTCCGGGCTTGCAGAGGGAGGGAAGGATGTCACGAGGACGGAGCCAGACTCTTCTCAGTGGTGCCGCAGCTTCTGACAAGGGGCAGTGGGCACAAACTGAAACATAAGATGTTTCAGTTGAATATGCGGAAGAACTTCTTTACTTTGAGGGTGACAGAGCCCTGGCACAGGCTGCCCAGGGGGGTTGGGGAGTCTCCTTCTCGGGAGATATTCAAAGCCCGCCTGGACGATGTCCTGTGCAGCCTGCTCTGGGTGAGCCTGCTTTAGCACGGGATTTGGATGGGATGATCTCCCAAGGTCCCTTCCAACCCCTGCCATTCTGGGATTCTGTGATTCTGGGAGGGCTCCGCCGGCTGTGCTGTGTTCGGCACCTTGCCCATGGGGAGGGAGAGGACGGGATCCACCAACCCCAGCTCCCAGCTGGCATTCCCAAACGGAACAGGCTGATTTTCTGTCTGTCTTTTCACTGGAAAGTCAACATCTTTTGCATGGGAAACATGCAAATTTTTGCTTTAGCCACGAACGCAGGGCAGTAGCCCCCTCAGTGCTCTCAGAGGCACTAATTCAGGCTTGTGTAATGGGCTTATTCATCCATAGTCAGTTTTACATCCCCAAATTCTCTTCCTTTCTCGGTAGCTGTGTACAGCCCACCAGACTTACAGGACACCCGTCGATTTGGCTGATTTTGATTTTTTCCCCCATATTACTGCAATTAACTCTCTCTGACGGTACTGACAGGCAGTAGGCTGGGGGAGGACACTTGCTTTAATTCTGCTCTTTGCTTTGAGAAAGCCAGACAGACAAGCGGCTCTGTAATGAGACCTCAGGACTCTTCCCCCTGCTCCATTTGGTTTTCCATGCCACTGCACTGCCTGTCTTTCTGTCCTGGAGGGGCAGTCGCATCTGCATTTCTCTCTCACATCTGCATTTTTCTCACTGGTGAGACAGGTTACCTTTCAAGCGAAACCAAATTTCTATCTGTTTTGTAAGTGACACCCCTAATTACATATTTCTTCATTTATATTCCGTTTCTCTTTGCATTTTAGAAAGCAGAAAAACCCAAGATGATCTCTAAAGGTATTTTAATTTTTCTGTTATCAGAAACACCGCTGGTTTTCTATACCCAGAAAATAAACATTTTACTTGAGGGGTTTACAAACCCCTCACTTTGCCTAGTGGAAACTGTTTTGCTTAAAGAAACCCAGCCAACTGCTACAGTTAACTATAACACATGGGTGCATTTACAGGCAGGGCACTCAAAGTAAAATATGAAATATTTTCAGCAAAACATTTTTCTGAATGGCCCGTCCCTGTGTTAATGCAAGACACAACTTTTTCTTGCAGACTTTTTACACCCTACTCCATGCTTGTGGATTAAAAATTATGACTAAGCAGTCTATTTGGGTAACACCATTTCACAAGACCAACCAGACACACTTGCTGGTGCCATTTCTTCTTTACTAACACAGCTTTTATTTCAATCTCTCATTACAACCTTCGGCAGAAGAAAGAGGAAACAGCTCAAGGTCTCCCTTCTGTGTTGGTCACGAAAACAAAATTATTTCCATATGAAACTGTTAGTGTGAAAAGAACAGATTGTGATAGTTTTGCCTGAAACCACAGAAAATATATGCAGAGGCTGTGGAAAGACTCTTCTTCATGGATGTCTCAGCTCTGATTGAATCTGCTTCAGCCAGGTAAGTGTAGAGATAAAAGATCACAGAATCACAGAATGGCAAGGGTTGGAAGGGACCTTGGAAGATCATCCAGTCCAATCCCCCTGCTAAAGCAGGCTCATCCAGAGCAGGCTGCACAGGACATTGTCCAGGTGGGCTTTGAATATCTCCAGAGAAGGAGATGCTGCTGTGCCATCAGCACTAACATTTCCAAAGGAGCTGGACAAATTCACAGAGGAGAAATCCAGTGAGAGCATTAAAGGCAAAGGCACCAGCAGGTGCCACCAGCAGGCACCTGAGCCACCAGCTGTTGGCATCTGGCAAAGCATTGCTTTGTGCTCACGGGGTTTTCATGCTCCTACCTTGGCCAACAGTGGATGTGCCTCTGAGAGTGGATACCTCCCGACCGACCCAGCGTAGCCATCCACATATTTCAAAGGATTTTCAACTACTGTGGCCACCGGTTCACTCTGGACAAACTTTCTAGAAAAGCAGGATCTTACTCCTCACCTTAACCTTGCCCTTGCCCTTTATATTTCTGCTTCCAAAAGGACTGGATTTTAATTTTTGCACAGGACACCGAACCGGAGAAGTGCAATCACCACAGTCCTAGCACGGATCGAGTCTCTGGGGTTTTGATGGAGCGCTCCTGCAGTGCAGAACAAAATCCCTTCTGATGCTCTTTTCCCGACACACTGGTCTTCAGTCCCCCACAATGTCTGGTACCCTAAAGAGATGAGCTGGAAGCATCAACGCAACCCTAATCCATCAGGATGATGTTTCACATCTCCCGTATCCGCATTGCTGGCCAGAGCATTGCAGGTTGCAGCATGTGCCTGGGGCTGGGAAGGAGCAAAACAGAGATGGGGACCAACCCACTGTGTGGAAACATCTATCAAAGTCCCAAACGCTTATCTGAATTACTGTTAGGTAATTTGGATACTTGCCTAAAATATCAGTGTTCTGCTGTCAAAAAAAAAAAAAAGTTATGATTTTTTTGCACTCCTAAGTCTCTTAAATTCTATTTTTTTTTGAGTGCAGGGATGCAGGAAGAGGAATTAAGATCAAGCACCAACAAATTCCTCTGAATGGCAAGAGGAATAAATATGCAAAAGCAAATTATATCAGATTAGGAAAGGGTAAAAAAAAGTCACAACTTCTTTAGGTGACTAAACATTAAATTCAATTTCTGCCCTCCCCAGCAGCCTGCTACCCGGGCCCTAGGGGCATCGCGCCCTGGGGTAGGGGTACCCACTGCGATGCGCAGGGCTGCCCCTTAGCGACTCTGCACGCCTCCGCTCCGCTTCCCCAGCACCTTGCATCTCCAGCACCATCCACCTACCTCAGCACCAGCAAGCTCTGGGTTAACAATTCAAAACCCAACTTTCTGCCAAGTTTGACTGCATACGATCTTCTCCTTCTGATCCAGAGTGACAGCGACCCCAACCACCGTTTTTCACCCCAGTGTTTTTACTGTACCACTGCTTCTGGTTAATAAATGCATCTCCTGGGTGTTTCTCCTGGCCATCGCCAGAGACAACCCGAACAGTCACAACCTGCCACCGCCTTTGAACAGAGGCTGCCAAATTGATGCTAGCAGGAATTAGAGCTGGCTGGAAACGACTTCTCAAAAGTCAAGCATCTCATTTAAAACAAAGCAAAGCAAAACAAAGCAAAACAAAACAAAGCATCCCCTGCAAAAAAAACCCCCAAAGCTATTTAAAAGAAGACTTGCATTTGTTTTGCCTTCAGGACAAAGTGTTTGCCCTGCTGAGGGTTTCTGTGGCTTCTCCCTTCAGATGACCCCATCGGAGATGCAGCTGATGAAGGCGGCCTCGTTCTTGGAAAGGACGGATGCGACAGGGCATGCATCTGATAGACCTCAGCATGGACTGCTTAATTACCACCAGATGCCCCTTTTATGGGAGAAATCATTGCTACAAAAAAAAAAAATCTCCATCTGACGAGATGCTGCTGGTATTTCCTAGCAGCCGAGGCTTACCTCTGTGCTGTGTGTGTATCTCCAGCAGGCAGCTGGGATCAATCCACAGAAGGCCAGAGCAAAGCAGAAAAATCCCTGAGGATAAAGAGGAAAAATACCATCAGTTACAGTATGGGGAGAAAACCAGCCATTTCACAACACCACTGGGACACGTTTAATATGCTCGTTTGAGCAAGTTTAGTTAAAGTTAGAGCAACACATCCTCTTCGTTTATTATCCCTCATAATGCTGAAAGAAATTAGATGGAGAATATGTGATTCTCTGGCAGGAGCATTGTGTCCAGAGCTAATTATGCTGTGGCCGTTTGAAGGGATTGACCAAAAAAGCACCCGGCTTCCTGCGAAACAGCTAACCTATTCTGCCCAAATTCCCCTTGAAAAAGAAAAAAAAAAAAAAGGCGAGAAAAATATTATCTTTACAGCATGCTCCTCTTCCGCAGCAGGACCGTGCCCTGACATAGCACTTCCTTACTGAGGGGATTCAATCCCCCATGTTTAAAACCCATCTGTGGGTTGCAAAGAGGAGAACACCCACACAAATGGTCCGTGAAGAAGCGAGTAACCGGGATGGGGAGCAACCTGCTCTGGAAAAGGAGCTGGTCTTTACCCCGTTAGCAAGGTGGCAGCCGCACGGCCAAGCTGCCTTCCTTGGATCAGCACCGTCCTCGTTAGACAAAAGGACGACAGAAATATCATCAAGGCCAGCAGCCGACCCTGAAGCGCCTAAACAATAACGGCAGGGACGCAGGAGGCGGCGGCGCTTTTGTCTTCTTCCTTAGGCTTGCAGAGCTGGACGTTAGATGCGTTGTCTCTTTATTTGAACAAATCGGATCAAAAAAAAATCCCCAACCCCCTGATGTAAACAGCGCTTGGCTGTTGTGACAGCTGGGCCAAAGGATCTTGGTCACATTAAAAAAAAAAAAAAAAAATTAAAAATGAAGAAAAAAGTGCGCATAAAGCGTTTGAAGGCCAAATGGGCTCATCAAATATGAATCCACAGCTCAGTCTTGGAATGGCAAAAGACGATGAATAAGCACCAGTCGAAAGTTATTGCCTTTACAAGTTTTTCCATGAAACTGTCCCTCTTCCAACACAAAGTTATGTAGCAGGGGAAAATTACCCAACTGACCGCAGTTTATTTTGGTTTCTAATTTTTTTTTCCTATGAGTGTTTTAATAGTATGATATAGCTGAAATCACTTTGAAAAGATTAAATCTGTCATGAAAGTTTACCAAATTCAAGCTTAAGCAGAGGAATAAAAGCGTCGCTGCTACCAATTCTGCTTCACCAAAAAACTTTTGCTTAAAAAGCATAGTTTGGGAAAAAAAAAAGCAACCAAGCCCCAAAATCTTCCATGTGCAGCAAGAAAGGAAAATGTGTCACTTTAAATACTGGAAATGAACACGAACGTGCCAATAAACTGCCTTTTGCTGGTACTTGTCCATCTGCTGCTTGCCATGTGTCTCCGCTCGCAGCAGGACGATGCCCTGCCCCAGGGGCTTTCCTGCAGGAACCAGACTCCCATTGGCATTCCACCGCTTTTTCGGGGCTGCCTTGTTTCAGGCTCTGCATCAGACGCTGGGGAAAACCCTGGTACGGCTCTTACAAAAAAGCTTAAATTATGTATGTCCAGCCTCTCCTTTTCTTTTATTTTTTTGGCAGCTGCCTGGCCATATAGGTGGTGAGATCACTCGCTGCCTTGCCAGGAGCTAAAATGGGATAACAGAAGACCCCAAAGGAGATGAGAGGAAAGGCTGGTCAAACGCTGGCATGACAAGGGGGATGCAAGTAGTGAGGGTGGGGAAGAGCAGGAAGGGCAAGATGCCACGGGCCAAAGCACCGCACGAGCAAGCCCGAAGCCAGCTGGGGTGGGCGCTTCAACCCCTGCAGGTACAGCACAGGTTGGAGGGGGGCGGAGGTGGGGTTACCCGGCCATTTCAGGTAGCTCCTCACTAGGAGCAGACCCTGCATTTTGCACCTCCTCCAACAGCTGCCCTCCCAACCAAACAGCATTACCCAGTCAACGCTTTCACCAAAACCAAGCTCAAAGACAAGAAAAAAAGAGACAATTACGGCAGATGAAAAAACCAGCACCGACAGCAATGTGAAAGCCCTTACGCACATCGTTCCAGTAAGGGTTTAATTGAGAGGACCCACAATGAACCCGGAGGACGACAACAACAGCATGCCAGGGGCACCAGCCAGATTTCTCCCCCCCATGCTCTCCTTTCCTTCCCCCACCAGCTCCAGCGCTTACGACATCTCTCTGGGGCCAGAAACCCCAGCAAATTAAAGTCATCCTTCTCATCTTCCTTGCCTCAGCTCCACACTACATCTCAGTCCTTCACCTCCAGCATCTGCTCTCCCTTTATTTCTGTCTAGCTTCTCTGGGAATACCGACCCACAGTCCCTCGGGAAGCTCCCCCTCCGTCCAGCCGGTGCAGAGCAATTACATGGCTCCGAGAACATCTTATAAATGAATTATAGGCTGCTTTTCCCCTTGCCAGCCAAAAGGCTTTTGGAAGCGCAACTTTCTAATTACATTAAAGACATTTGGAGGAAAAAAAGAAAAAGGCAACACGTAGTTTGCATACAAAATGTGGAAGGGTGAAGGCTGGTTCCCCATCTCCCAGACCCTCAGAGCTCCTCGGAGCCAGCCACGGGCTGCTGCCTGCTCCCTTTGCAGGAGGCAGCCACGTCAGCCCCGCAGAGGGCTGTCACCGGCCAGACATCAATTACTCTTTTATGAGTGACCTTGTTTCCATCCTTGCTGCAAGGAACAATTTGTCTTCGAGAGACTTGGCAGAACCCGCAGCAACAGCGTTCTTGTCCGTTGGCCGGTGTATCTTTTGATTCACCTTTCCGATGCTTCCCCTTCAGCTAAGGGGGTCCGCTTCAGGGAAGGGAGGGATTCTTTAGCTCAGGCTGGGTTCAGTCGCTCTGCCAAAGCCCCGCACTCCCAGGGAAGGAGCTGATCTGTGCCCTGCTCAGCTCCAATTGCTTTTCGGTGCTGCTGTGGCCATGGCAAGGGCCAGCTCTCTGCCAGGGGCGGTGAAGGGGGGAGCTAATTTCCGATTGCATCCATCAGGTTGCATCCCTCCCTCCCTGACCCAGTTCATCTAACAGCACACCACGTTTTGGCCTTTCCACATAGCAAACGCGAGCCGGTGATCTCAGTCCGAAGCAGGAATCCGTCCTGGGCTCCGAGTGAGCACATCGGCTCTGCCCATGCCTGCTCCCCGGGGACCCGAGCAGATGCCTTGCTCTGGAGTGCTGCACCACGAGGGAGAGCACAGCAGACAGATGCATCGCGAAAGCGAGATGCTGCAGTATGCTGCAGGGTTATTAAGGACCCTCTACACACTTGCCTACAACGATACACCTGGGAACAATAAAGCAAACAGCCCATGATCTGTGCTGGCCTGACCGGCACTTCGCTCTCGGTGAAAAAGTGGGTTACACTGGGCATTCACTAAGGCTTTTTTACCACAGAGATTGTTTGGAACCAGCGCTCAGAACAGCTGCTCCATCCTGAACACAGATTTTGCTCTACACAAGTGGTTTTTAGGCTGGGAAGTTCAGGTGTAAGAATTTCAGCCGGGATATTCCGGTTGGCATCTTGCTTCCTGCTTTTTTTTTCCTTCGCTCCATCTGACCAGATAACAGCGCACAGGGCCTCAAACCCCACCGGAGCCAGACTCTTCCCTTTGTACAAGCAGTACTTGCAGAACTGCAGTTTTCCTTCCTTCTCCTCCCCTACAATAGCAACGTGGCCTTCAGGGGCTGTGAGAGCTGCAGGGTGTTCACATTCAGGACTGACTGCATGGTGGACCACGGATCACCAAAAAGCGGGGTTTGCCAGAACCATAGCTGGAGGACAGTCAGCAAACCCGTCGCTACTCTCCCTGTTTAAGAGGAGCTTTGGCGATAATAGCCCAGGATTTTAGAACATTTTTTTTTATCCTTAATTTCTCTCTAGGAATCAGCTTCCTCGTGAGCATCAGTGGATGCAGAGAGGCGTCTGCCAGGCCTGGGGATGCTGTTAATGCAGCTACAGGACGAGCTCCTGAGACACGTGTGCTTTCACCAGTTTGACCTGTTCTGGTTTCCAACCCCTGTGCACCCGTTACCGTTATTAGGACAGCACCAGTAAGGCCTGCAAAGAGCCTCTCCTCTGTATACACACAAGCCTCCAGATAGCCAGGCAGGGTGAGCACTTACAATTTAAATAGACACAAAAAAAATTCAGTAGGGAAACCAAGGCACAAGAGGAAGATGGGATCAACCCAACGGGTCAATGACCAGGGTAATGCTCCTCCAAGCCCATCTGCATCCTGGCAAGCATTTCCCCAGGGCAGCTGGTTTACCAAGCGGCATTGTGGTGGATTAGCCACATCGATGAAGACATCCCGGGAGCGTGGCTCGGTTTCCTATACAGCCACAGATGTCAGGCACCAATACTCTGGTGTCTTCCCTCTTTGATTAAGGAGTGAATTAAATGGTCTTCTAAACAAGACACATGCTTTGCAGGAGAGGAAAAGTCCTTTAAAAATCAATAGCGGGGGAAGGTGAAAAATCCTCTCGATTAACAAGCAGGAAAAAAGCTACAAGCAGGGGGCTGCTCACTCCTGCCAGCTGGAGCCCAGCGGGGAAACTGAAAAGTTTCAGAGCCCCAACAGGGCTGAACCCCACAGGGCTGAACCCTACAGTGCTGAACGCCACAGGGCTGAGTCCCAACAGGGCTGAGCCCCACAGGACTGAACCTCAACAGGGATGAGCTCCAACAGAGCTGAGCCCCAACAGGGCTGAACCTCAACAGGGCTGAGCCCCAAAAGGGCTGAGCCCTACAGGGCTGAACCCTACAGGGCTGAGCCCCTCAGAGTTGAGCCCCACAGGGCTGAGCCCCAACAGGGCTGAGCCCCTCAGAGTTGAACCCCACAGGGCTGAGCCCCACTCCCGCCTGCGATCGCACCTCGCCGCAGCCGGCAGGGGCTGGCTCTGCCTGCCTGCCCCCGTGCTTGCGGATCAGGGATTAAATATGAGCCTCGGGAGGGGGTAGGAACCGTCGGGAAAACACGCAGGGGGCCGGCCCTTGCTGTAAGACGCTCACAGAACCGGGGCGGGGGAGGACGATTTATAGGAACAAGCAACGCTCCCCGCTGGGATTTAAGGTGCCGGTGAGCCGCTTGAGCCGGGAGGGGCAGATAGGGCGGCTGGTGGCCGGCCCGTGGGCATTCCCCAGGGCCCCCCGTTGATT